GATCTACTAAATATTGATTTAATTTTCTTTTTTTGTGGGGCCCAGATTAATGCACCTGCCTGATTTTGTTTAAACAATTATTGCACACTTTCTGTAAATCCAATAAACTTCATTTCACTTCTCAAATATCACTGTGTGTCTCCTATATGATGTATTTAACTGACATTTTTGTTTTTTTTTATTGTGACAACCAATGATTTATACAGGGAAATAATGACTATTAACCAGGTTGCCCAAACTTTTGCATCCCACTGTAAGTATGTTGCAGCAACCAATCTGGTGAAATGTTCTGTACAACCAAAGGATGGCACTAAACACAAGTTTAACTCCAGCATCTCGGACAGTGTTAAATCTAGGACAGTATTTAGAGAAGAGCTCTGACAAAAGAAGTCAAAAACTCTGAAGAATTAAACGCCACATATAAAAATATGCTTAATCACAGGAAAAATTAATTCAACAGGCGCAAAGGAACTTGTATTCAAAATATCAGCTAGACACACTATAAGCTCCAATTTGCTTTTGATGTCAGAATAGCCAGCAGTTTGGCTGAACACCTAAATATAGTTTAAGAATTAATTTCTATTCACGAGAAGCATCTATGTGTCTTTTGCGGTCTTTGTCTCTCTGGGGACAGATTTCATGTGAGCTAATTCCTCATGATTCCTCCACAGTGTGGATCAGGAGAGCTCTGAGGTTTCCAGTGGTCAGTCTGCCCAGCAGCATCAAACACAGCTGGACTCCATATTTATGGTCTGTACATGTACAACAACTATTTTTACATGTATTGAGTTCAGTCATCTCCATGCTGCTCTTTGTAGACCATTGGAATGTCAGTACGCCCAACATGAATCTGATGTTTGGCTCCATGATTTCAGTCTGATTGGGACATTCATGAAGTATTTTGTTCCAGTTGCTGGAGGACACCATAATCAATTTTGTGAAGAACGAGCTGAAGAAAATACAGAAGGTTCTGAGTCCAGGTTACCCAGAATGCTTAGAGAGACAGAGGGAGGAGGAGGAGGATCAGAGGAGGAGCAGCAGAGAGGCATTTGTGAAAATCACCCTGGACTTCATGAGAAGAATGAAGCTTGATGAGCTGGCTGACTGTCTGCAGAGAAGTAAGTGGATTCCTCTAAAGATTTAAGTTGCTGGTGTTCAATAAAGAATTTACTAATTTCAAATTACATAGACCAACACATAAGAATGATGATATATGGAATTTAAATTGTCTATTCGTTTTATTAAAACAGTAAACAAGTACCTTCTGATGTTCTTTTTTTTTGTTTGTTTGTTTATTCTCTGAAAACTTCTAGATGCTATTTGTCCTCACAAACTCAAATCTACACTAAAGGAGAGGTTCAAGTGTGTGTTTGAGGGGATCGCTAAAGCAGGAAACCCAACCCTTCTGAATCAGATCTACACAGAGCTCTACATCACAGAGGGAG